TAAGATTAAAATGATTTGAGTGAAAAATTTAAATTTTTGGAAATATGTGAACTGCTCGATGTAGAAAAAACCTTGTGTGAAATTCGAGCGCAAATTGATTGTCGATTTCAAGAGATTGCCGCGCTCCTTCGTCGCGCGTCAACTGTCTTTTTCAATCGACAATATATCATTTTGCGCTCTTACTACACAAATAGCTATTTTTGTTTTAGATCAATTTAGTAGGTACTGTAGCGTAGGTTAGAATATATAGATTTTACGGTGTTCGAATTAAAAGGGTCCGGCAGTAAGATCACACGTGTTTCCACCGGTCATGGGACAGTACGTTAAAACCAATACGACCACATAAACAACCCCGTCTCAGCATTTCTGACTAAATCGACCTGAACCAAAAATATAAAGTGTCAGATCTAGGCGGGCATATATTAGACCTTGCTATTGGGGGCGTCAAGAGATCCTTTGTCGCTTAATTCATTCTATAATTTTTGGCTGCTATTTATTACCAAAACTAACAGGGCTCATTTATACTACGTCCCATATACAGGGTGGTGACTTGCGTAACGCATCATAGGGATTTCAATGTAAAATTCATAACATGCGATTATTGGCTCCCCAAATTATTTTAGAGCAAACATGTATTAAGGTTTTTTGTAGAAAAAAATTTTTTACGTCAATCAACCGTATTAGTTTTCAATTTTTTGCATAATAAAGACGGAAAATTGGAAAAATAAAACCCGCATCTTTTTCAATAATCTGTGATGCCATGGAATTTTATAATAGAAAAACTACGCCAATATCCGTCATGCCATGGAATGTCTGCTATAAAACAAATCAAATTCTATCAAAAAGTATTATATTTAGAACAGCGAATTCAACATAAAGAAAGACCAAATTACTAAAAACGGTTTCCTAATATAACAATTTACAATAAATGTTCGAATAAGTCACCATTAACTGCAATACAGTAACCAAGTCGATCATAAAAGCCATTTCGAACTGCTGCTAATTGATAACTGGATATCTTTTTGTTTAAAAAAATTCCATGGCATCGCAGATTATTGAAAAAGATGGGGGTTTTATTTTCCAATTTTCCGTCTTTATTATGCAAAAAATTGAAAACTAATAGGGTTGATTGACGTAAAAAATTTTTTCCTACAAAAAACCTTAATACATTTTTACTCTAAAATAATTTGGGGAGCCAACAATCGCATGTTATGAATTTTACATTGAAATCCCTATGATGCGTTACGCAAGTCACCACCCTGTATAATTCGAATCGAATCGTATCGATCGCTAACAGCGGCGATTCCTGGAAAAGGGTTTTTTTTTCGTGGTAAAGCGAACGGGGGAATTGTAATTTAATTCAAACCAATCAGGGCGATTCGACCTGAAAGCATTCAAATTTAATTGGAGATTTTGGGGCGCGTTGTAAAACTCGGGCGTGTCAAAAAGGAGATCACAGGTGAATAGTTTTGAAGGAATCAAGAGGAGAATTATCGCGGATATCGTGGAAGTTACCACGCCGCCAATAATATCTTTTTTTGCGTAATTTTTCCGGTGAAGTACAGACGCCGGGAACTATTTTGTGAGTGTTAGAAAGTGGCACATCGCGAAGGCGCTACCCTGTACCGAAATTAAAATTGTTAAGTTCCGCGTCCGGCAAAGGGTTTTGTACGGGTCGGGTTATAAATAATTGGCTTAAGAAGTGCTTAGTAAAGGGCGGTCGGTACGGAGAGAATCGGCGAATTTAGTGCGGTAAAGGTGCTTACTGGAAATCATTCCGCGCAGAGGGAATAATTTTCAACTTTGTCCACGAACCACCGGGGTAATCACTATTGCTTGCCCATAATAACATCGACGATAGGCAGTACATCAGTAGGGCACCGTAACCAAACGACGCGACGGGCCAAGAAGATAACCCGAGTTAAGAAGTCAACCCATTCGCTGATCCAAACGACAGAATTTGCCCTTTTGCCAGGTTAGTTATAAGTTTGTCATTAAGTTAAGTTCATATTTGTAGATTTATGTATGATTAGGTATGTGTAATATTTGTCTTAAATAGTGTCGTTAATAGGTCGCTTTTGCATTAGAATAAGAATGTCAACGGTAGGGTGGCCACCTATTTTTTCATCATTAGGAGGTATTTCTAGCCAATAGAGTTTTTTGTACGAAATCCTGAAAAGGAAAGGCGAAGCCGGTGACCAATTCGAATTTTAATTGTTAGTCAATATACTAGTTAACTGATTGCCTAGTGTTTGTTTTATGGACAAGTAGATATACCTACCCACAAGGAATTTAAAGCAGTTAGTACGACCCCCCGGGAGAGGTTTGCAGTAAGCATCCCTGAAAGCAAGAGGGATTGTGGTTTATCTGAGCTAGTCGATGGTAATAAATAAGTAATTTGTTGCATCCCACTAAATCTGACAAAAGAATGCAAAATTTGAATTCAAAGTCACCATAAAGAGTTACAACCCTTTCTGGGAAATAAGCCCAAAAACAAACAAACCGTTACACACAAATGGTCGGGTGGATGACAATAGTCATCCAACTCACTTTGACTGCTAATGACACTACTGTACTAACAGCACTGCAATAACGGTATAATGTTAACCCTGTCTTCTCCCCACCTTTACTGAAAGGTATTGAAAGTCGCGCAGGCTCAATCGATTTTGCACGAGTTATAGGCGGTATTAAAAATGACTGGATGACCATTGTCATCCACGCGACTAACGTAGGGTTAATGGTGAATTAAAGTAAGCAAATGGTAAGAAAGGTTGAAAGTACTGACGCTAATTTTGTCGATTAGAGCCAGTTGTACAGTGATTGTCGATTTAAACTTGTTTGCATTGTATGACGTGGTGAAGAAATACGTTTTGAATGCAAATTTGTTAATTCCTTGACCACGTTTAAGTATTTAGTTATGCTTGTGCAACGGGGCTCAACCATAATTGTTTGAATCATGCTAACATACGTTTCAGTAATTGTAGCATGTCCAAACTCAGAAATTGCCACGGTGGTTAAAGATCGTAGGCAATACAGCATTAGTGACCTCCAAAAAAATTATGATTCAGAAAAAACATTTCGAGTTACTTGTGAACCTAGTACTAGTTTGAGCAGTCGTTTGCAAAAATATGATGATTTCCACTCCAGATAGTACTATGTTTGATGCAGACGATGAAACAATTTCTGTTGCTTCCAAACCTAGCACTAGTTTTAGTAGTAACTTTCCGTTTTCATCACAATGTTCATTATTAAGAAATGCCTTAATCAGGCAGCTATCGATCCCATTTAATATGCAATTGGCATCGATTGTTTTAATTAACAAAGAGGAAGAATTCTACAACAACAACATTTGCGTAAATCTGGAAGAAGCAGTGAATTTAGCTGTTGTAACAATCGGTCAACACAATAATTTATGGCACGAAGCTCGTAAAAATCGGATTACTGCAAGCAAATGTAAATGAATTATTTACCTACTGCCACAATAAAAATGTTGATTTTATTTCCAAACTAAATAAAATGATCTACCAGCCATTTTTGGGGAATACATTTACAGAATATGGAAATCGCTGTGAAGAATTTGCAGTTAAATTGTATGAACAGTGAAAGTTCATAAATGGGCTTTAATTGTACGTCCAGGATTACCATGGTTGGGATTCAGTCCTGATGGTTTAATTTTTGAAGACAATAACAACCAAAATACTTGAAATAAAATGACCCATAAAAGGATCTGTTAAAGGCGCAGAAACATTATTTAAGGATAATGACATCAAGCATTATGGGCAAGTTCAAATGGGCATGGGTTTGCTTCAGAACTGTTCATTTGATGATACCTTCAAATGTGTGAAAGTTGAGTTTGATGAACAGTTTTTTAATAAATTGGTGGGGGCATTACATTTTGTATTTTTGGTGTTTTATATTAGTTTACTTACCAAATCAACATAATGTGAACAATACTTACATATAATTAGTTATATTTACCTTGTTTCTATTGCAAATATAAAAATCTTGCCCACTAACTATTTTATATTGTTCATTCGTAAACAATTAGGCGTGTGATATGTATTTCACTCTTTAATGATGCCATGCATTTATTTCTTGATTTAGTGTAATGTGTTGTTGGGTGACTTAGGTATTTACTGAGATCTCACTATAAATTTGTTTTTATGAATGACTCAGGGGTTTTTCGATAGGTTAGTTTTTGAATATCATTCATTAAAATAACAATTTTGTGTAATGAGATAGTTAGGTGCATTTGATTGATTCAGCATAATATCCTAAAAGTAAAAAAAATCTTATTTTTAAAATAATAATGTAATTTCTTATCAACTTAGTTTAAAAATATTTATCATTGTATTTAACTTAATTAAACAAATTAAACACTTATATGTAGGTTTTTTCATTTAAAATAGGTTCTGACAAATTAACAAGAGCACAAATAATGATCTGCATGATTGCATCAATATGCGTTGTAGCAATTTGAAATAGTGTGTAGGGTAGGTAGTAGATAGTTAGGGTAGTTCAGGTTAGAGCTGTATGATATTTTGCATAGTTTTAGGCAAATTTAACACTAGATTTAACAATTTAGTTATCATAAGGTCATTTCCCACTTGGAAATTCTTGGGATATCAATTTTGGGAAAAACGGATATTTTTCGAAGGAGAGTGGATTGGGTTAGCTTTTCGTGCGGCTAGAGAGATAGAGAATTATAATTATTGGAATTCACTGTTTATCAGGATTTATCTCCTAGCTCGTGTATCTGATACTGGTTGGCTGATCGAATTGATGGTATAGTTGGGAATCAGTATAAGTAGTTTGTTTTATCAGATTTGAAGCAGCCTGAAGGTAAATTTAATTACAACTTTTCTAAATTATTAAAGCTATCATTTACAGAGAATACCAATTGGGAATTTGATTAGTGTATATAGTTAGGAAACAACGTCGAATTAGAATATTAGGATGGTAGTCATAAGTTTGTGGTAAGATAAATAATTGATAGGTAGTGTAGTATTAAAACTTTGTAATTTGTAGTTTAGAACATTGCGGACGAGTTGCAAGCTATAACATCTAGGTAAGAATTAGGTATCTCTTAAGCTAGATATAGAGTATCTCATAACTTTCAGCTTTTTTTGTTCCGCTGCCTAAAATCTGGCACTTACTGGTACCTTACCTTGCTGCATCTGCGTTTGTTCTGAAATAAAGTGGGAGAATAAAAATTAATTAATCATAATTAACCTGTATTTGCATACTTACAATTTTTGTGGCTTTGAGTTGATGAACCCTCTTCAAGGGTTATGTAAACTGAAATCAAAAGAGTTAATTCTTACCATTTAATTACAAATAATTACATTCATGATAATACTTACCTGTGAAGGAAAATTCGTTTTGTTCTCAGTTGGGAGGTCTATCTGTACTAACCTCTATTTGGCCCAAATATAAACAGGGTGCGGGGGCTAGCTAGCGAATCCAGAACCCGTATTAATTACCGTAGTAAGATATTGTTGACACTGTTGATTTTTGCGGTGTGGACGAATTAATCCTATTAGTTTTTTTCCTTTATTATTGTTACCGTGCTTCACACCACAATTATAATTTGTAGTTACATACTAGGTAATCATATTTAATTTTAAATCGAAATACAGACGTATTAAATTCCTCTCTGCCACAATACCTAGTTTTTTTACACCTTCATTATGCTATGCTTGGAAGAGCCTATCCTCCTTGATCAAGAGGATTTATTACCTCGCTAGATCTGGCGCCCTTAAGATTTGAGTTTTGTAGTAGCAAGTTTTCCTGGCAGAATACCGAACTTTACGTCCCTCACGTTGAATGTTAGCCGGCTACTGAGTATAAATCCAAGTTTAGTAGTGAATTTGTATTCTCCTAATCAGATAGTAATTTTATTTCGCAGCAGCGTTACAATACTTATGGATAAGGTATTTTGTAGGATACGAAAATTTTTCAATCTTTGAATTGTACGTTCAACATGAACTCTCGCTCTTGCTATTTCAGCATGCGTGTAGCATCTTTATTTGAATATTTCCCTCATGTCATAAATGCCATATGAGGTGTGCAATTATCGCTCAATTACAGCGATAATTGCACTGTAGAAAGCGAAAGAGCCCTGCGATAATGGGGTCATCCCGCCTTCATTTTTTATTTCTGATCCACAAAGTACATTAAAAATAAAAAGACACGTGTGTCCTCAATTTTTATTTGCGAGTAAAATAAACCCAAAATAAATTATTGAAAAGCTGTGTTTTTAGTCCGAATTTGAAACGCTTCAGACTAAATACGTCACAAACCTACAACCAATCACGTAGAAGTGAGCTGGCAATCTTACGCGAGGGTCTGACGTTTGTCACATTTGACGTTTTGAGAGGGATGTTTAACTGCATCTAGCACGAAAGTGACAAGTGCCTGTGACAGATGACGCAAGTTATAAATGCCATTCTCCTGCAATATTGCCAAGTCGTTATGTCATCTGAATGGTTCTAGGAGCTGATTGGTCGGGCTTATTACGTCACAGAGCCCGCCACAATCATATCGTTTTGAATAAACCTTTAAAACCGCACATGTTCATTATTTTTTTGCTAATCAGCCTCTATTTTTAAATAAACTTTTACTGTCCAAAAAAATGTTTTATGGTTTCAGGTACACGCTTATTAAATTAGAACTGCGGAATTCAACTACACTGTAAACCCCCATTGCACTGTCCATATCCATGGCAACTGGCAACGCCTTTGGACAATTTCACAATACACCGACAATTTATAAGTAGGTAACGTCAGTTTGACAAGTAATGCTTGTTCGGGAAATATTCATATATAATACCATAAGTAGTCGAAGTATTGTCGAATATTTTTGAGGTGCTGTCACGAATGCTAGTTACGCTGATTAATACCACGAGCGCTTGCGCGAGTGGTATTAAAAAGCGTAACTAGCATGAGTGGAACAGCAGCTCAAAAATAATCTACAAATACTTCGACTACGAATGGTATTCGGAGGACTATTCAATGAATCAAAAGAAAAATTAAGCATAATTACCCACGCGAATGTATTTCCATGACAACAATAAACGTCAAAATAAATTACGGAAGTTGCTTTTCATTTTGCTATCGATTCTATTCGAACTTTTGTGCTCCAAGCTAATTCGTTATGAGTGATTAAATTAAAAGATGTGGTGATAAGTGGGTTGTCGAAATTGATTAACAAACTAAGAAGAATGTTCCGGTTAATACGACAAAATTTCGCGACATTTCACTGGTGGAAGTTTGACAAATGTCATTGAATAATCGCATTGAATTGTCGCTGAAATACCACACGTGAAATTATCGCTGAAATACCACACGTGCAATTATCACTATAATTCGTTCCCATTGGCGCAGCAATTTGAAATCGAGACATTTCACTGGTTGAAATGTGACAAATGTTAGATGAATTGAATAGTCCCCTAAATTACACTCGTGCATCAAAATAAACCTGATAATTTTTTATTCAAGCATGTTGTCAGTAAAAAACTGCATTCGGTCATTTTCATATTTTGTTAAAACAGCCCTCCACCTTCGGTGTCGGGCTCTTTCGCCAAAATATGAAAATAAACTCATGCAGTTTTTAGACAACATGCTTTCAAAAAAATTATCGGTAATTTTGATGCACTTGTGCAATTTAACCCTGACGTGCACCCAAGCACTTTAAAGGGGGAAGTTAAAGCCAGTATGAAAAAACGAAATTATGCGGTTGAGGTTAGTTTATTTGTTTATTTTTACTTTATAAAAATGTTGATTTTGTAGATATTAATGGATTTAGACGATGGCATTGTACAAGCATCCTGTACATGTCCTCGAGGACAAGCAATCTGCCACCACATGGCTGCATTAGCCATACATGGACATCACAACATAAGCATTACAGATAAAATCTGTGCATGGAATGCCCCAAAAACTAATTTGGAGTCCATCACAAGGTTACAGGATGTTGTGACTAAATCGGTGCAAAGAGTGACCAGAAGGGATGTTACTGCTGACGAAATCGATAAGTTCAAAGCACAGTTGGGATTTGGGAATGCTGTGGGATATGTGTGGTTATTGAGGCCGGAGCCTTCGGAAGATGCTCACATAATTCCCAGTATTGAAAACATTCTGTTATCAGAAGACTATTTGCAAGCTGCAGAAAAAACTTTGTTTCTGCAAGAAAAAGTTAGAGTTGATGATTATACCATCGAAAAGGTCGCCAAACTTACCGTTGGACAAAGCAGCAACGAAAGGTGGTTAATATGCAGGAAACATCGATTAACCAGCAGCAAATTTGGAGCAATCATATCAGCATGTAAACGAAATCGCTATCCAAAATCACTGTTTACGAACTTATCAGAAGGCTATGACTTAAGTGGTGTGCAAGCAGTGCAGTGGGGCCGTGAAAATGAACCAATTGCAATTATGTTTTTTGAATCGGTTACAGAATTAACAGTGGAACCCACAGGTTTATGGATGCACGAATGTGGGTATTTAGGCAGTAGTCCTGATGGATTGGTTAGCGAAAGATGTATTATTGAAGTGAAATGTCCTTTCAAATATAGAAATATATCTTTAAAAGATAGTTTAAGTCAGGAAAAAGGATATATAATAAGTTACATCAATAATGAGGTTGTAATTAATCGTAATCATGCATATTACCACCAAATTCAAGGTACCTTGCACATTACTAATCGTGACATGTGTTACTTAGTAATTTGGACGCCAATGGAACAGGAAATTGTTCGAATTTGTCGTGATGATAGTTGGGCAGAAAATATAAATATTATTCAAACATTTTATTTTTCAAAATATCTTCCGTATATTATGTAAATATTTAATGTAAATATAAAATGTATAAATGTTTGTTATTATATGATACAATCTAGTACTTCTATACTAATGAAATAATCACACTACACTATGGTTACAAACTTATTCTGTATAAAATTGCTCCACCTCCTTAATTAATGGATATTGTAGATTGGTAAGTGCTGCAACTACTTGAAATATGGCATCTGCATGTGGAAGTAATGTTTGTGGTATAAAAGATAAAATATTGTACACTTTCATACGCCTTATTGCTCGCTCCACATGGATTCTTGCACGGGCAATCCGTTCAGTTTGTCTAACTTGCTCACTTGTGAACTGGGGCGTGGTTAAAAATGGTGGGATATTCATATGAACTCCCTCTGGCAGAATGTCTTTTATTAAGAATCCCTTATCTGCTAGGATTAAGTCCCCTGGTTCTAATTGCTGTAATATACCACAATCGAGCACAATTTTTTTCTCACTGACAGACCCTCCACATAAATTTGACACATACGTGATGACCCCATTTGGAGCTACGCCAACTAACCCCTTCCACGTATTTTTATGTTTATAAGAGCTATATGTCCCTTTTTGTAATGACATGCTTTTACGTGATGTGGAAGTATATATTTCAGTACAATCTAAGATTATTTTGCAATTAGTAAAAGAGCTAAAACAATTTGGGCTACAAAGTTGATTTTTTTTCCTTGAGGGAATGTTGTGCATCAGCTGCTTAAATAAGATTTCGTGCAATATGTGTATCCAGGTTGCAACGACATTTGATACAGTTGCTCGCGAAACATTGAAGCGAACACCCAAGTCTTCGTGAGAAAAGTTCTGCCTTAATTTCATAAGGGCCATCAAAAGTTGATCTTGTTTGTTTAACTTTTCCACTTTCCACGGCAAAACATAATTAAATGGAATATTCTCCAATAATTCATATAGAGCTAAGAAGATTCTTGCTGTTGGAAGCCCTGTATATAATAGAACAAGATGATCTCGATCCTTAATGATATTGAAACTAAATTGTTCTCGTACGGACTGAAGTTGTTTTGTCGTTTCTAGTAAATCCTGCCTCAAGAAATAATTTTCTGCATCCGTAGCAGCTAATAAAGGAAAGTCCTCTTCTTTTGATGTTGAAGGTTGTAAGTCCACATCACTAGTTGCTACACTATATACAGTATGCACATTACTTTCATACTACAAATTTAATAATAGCTACCTTGTACTTGTAGTAGAATCCGCAGTTAAGCGATTAATTCTTGTTCTCTTTTCCGGACTACTGAATGTCATTTTCTTTTTAATATTATGTAAAAATATTGTAGGTCCATTTTCCTTATTTCCACCTTCAAAATGGCAACTGCAAATGTATGCACCATTACCTGGTTCTTCTTTCCGCCTACAATATAATTAGTTAAATACACCCATTTTGGTAATTCTTACACTCTCACCTTAACAACTTTTTCCATCGATTTCGTGTTTTGGCATCTTTGGGAAATCTGAAAAAGTGGCACTTTTCTCGTACATTATAATGTTTACAGTCAGGGGCCCAGCACATAACCATCGCTTTCAGCTGTCCCACCACTTCGGCAGTCAATGTTACACCTTGTACTAATTAACAATGCACTACTACAAACAGGACACTTCACTAAATGTTGTATAAATTATACTAGTACGACTAAAAACTATTTATGTGTCTTTTTTGCACAAAAATAATAAACAGGAATAGAAAGATATAACTTATAGCAAATACAGGAACAGCTGATCTTGTTTAGATTCATTACATTTGACAGCAAGAAATGTGACGTCATTACTAACAGGGCGTATTTCGTAGGGATCCGTGAAGTGCCGTCTTCTGAACAATCTGAGTTTTTTAAGGTGCCTTTTAAGTTGTCTCTCGCTTAATATAATATTATGATGCTTATTGAGACTCGCTCTGATTTCTAATTGACTTAAACCTAGTTGATGGTATAATTTTATCAAATCGTCGAATGATTCCATAGCTCTGTAACTATTGTAGTACAATTTCATAAACAATAATAAATTGATAACTATACAAATAATACTACCAAATCGGTCAGATTAGCTAGATGATTCACTTACTGTTCAATTTTAATTAATAATGAATAGTTCACATAAGACATGAGACTTTGCGCCAAACAGCTTTGGTTAACTGTCTAGTTGCAGTGTACAAGTTGCAATTACCTAGTCCTAACTGCGAGTTAAAAATGCAAATTAGTACTAAGTGCTACTTAAAAGAGACAATTAGTACTAATTGCGAGTTAAAAATGGCAATTAGTACTAATTTCGACTTAACAGTTGCAATTAGTACTAATTTCGACTTAAAAGTGGCAATTAGTACTAATTGCCAGTTAAAAGTCGTAATTATAAAAAGAAAGTAACTAGTGGCCCTTCTACGCCTTCGTAATACAGACCCTCGGTGTCCCTCAGCCAGCCATTCTCCTATACTTAAGCAAGATCGTGGGGGTAATTGTTATGCAAACTTCTTTTCTATGCGATCACTAATAAATCTACGTATTTGCACTGGTAAAATCGAAGGATTTACGCTCATACTTAAAACGCAAACGAATTATGAGTTGCTCGTTTTACCATTCTCGTGGGCAAACGAATTATTTCATTATAGGTTGCTCGTTTTATTCCCTTTAAATAAAAAATTAACCGTCTATTCAACTACATTTATTTTTCTGAAAGCTATACAATTCAATTACATTATTTTCTAAAAGCTACATATAATTATTTACAAGATATTTATTTTAAAAAATTGACAAATTTTTCTATGTAGGCCACTTCTTCTCCCAGACGTCGTTCATTGAGGCGTGCTGCTGCAACTTCCTCCTTTAACCTCCTGGTTTTTTCTTGAGCTTCAAGATAGCGTTGCCTGAATATGGGCGTCTTCTACTCTAACCATGCCAGCGACGCCCTGCCTAACTCTCGAGGCGTAGAGGGCTCGAACCAGGAGGAGGGAGCGACGTCGGAAGGTTGTGGCACTACAATTTCTTGAGTTCCTGATGTTGAAGGAGACTGGGAGATTGTTTCATATAAAGTTTCCTCGAAAACCTCCCTCAACACTTTCATATCCTTCTGTGCGTGCCTGTAACAAAGAGAATAGGAATATTAGAACATTCTTTTCACTAAACTTTCAAAGTAACACTTACTGAGGATGCAGACCGGTGGTGGCACTCGTTTGTTGTTGTTTGGAATCTTCTATCGGCGGTGGTGGGGGTGGTGGATTTATTATATGTTGCAGTACACGCGCTGTTCCCTCTGGGATACTGAAACAAACACACAAATATTAATGTTAGGTTAATTTTGATTACACCTCTTACAACTTACTGTAATTGATAACTTGAAGATTTTGGTGGTAATATATGAGTAGGAGGTGCTGCTGCAGCGTTTGTATGATGTTGATACTGACTACAAATATAAATTTAAAGTATTAAAAGTTTTTCGGTGCACTTACAGCATGTTATTGACAGTATTTGTTTTTAGGCCGTGCTCCAACGATGGGTCACTGAGCTGTGGTGTAGGTATTACTTTTAAAAAAAAGGATAAGTCAAAGGTATTTAAATCTTCTATCTTTTGGTGCATTCATTAAAAACTTCAAACGATAGCAACAAGCCAAAGAAATGTTCTGCATTTACAGAAAGCGACCAAAGATGATTTTTTATTTCACCCAGATGACAGTTTCAAAAGTCATACTTGAAGTATCGTTACTTAGCAACTTTAAAGCACGTGTGTTTTAAAGGCCTTTTTTCGCACGCATTTGAGTGTTTAAAACGGAGATTGTGATTCAGGTATAATAAAATAGTATATTAAGATACAAGTGTATAATCAAGTCTTTAAAGCACGCGCAACGAGTTTAAGGGCACGACGCAAAGCGGAGTGCCTTTAACGTTGTAAGTGCTTTAAAGACTAATTATACACGTGTATCTTATAGTATTTTTTATTATACCTGCAGTATAATTTAAAAATAGGAAATACAATGAAGTCATATTGACGATATACTCGAATACATGTTTAATTAAGTGGGCTGGGTGTTCGAAATTTCACGGTTGCCATGGAAATGTCACTTGACGTTTGCTTATAATCATCATAATCTTTGTTCCGTTGAAAAAGATAATACACCGTCCATTAAATCGCTTGTTGTAAAATCTAAACAAACGTTGGTAGGTGTAAAATCCAAATCCAGTAAAGCCTATTATAAAGAATATGAAAAGGTGTTTCCATGGACGAATAGGAAGTTACTTTCGAATACAGTTTTAAATGCATCCATAATGCTGGCATATATGAAGGAAATGTCAAAGGTATTTAAATCTTCTATATTTTGGTGCATTCATTCAAAACTTTAAAGCAATGCTGCGATTAAAAAGTGGAACAGATTTGGAAGCATCCCCTAAATTACGCGCGTTTGTGAAAGCTTCAACCAAAGGATAGGTACAAAAGCCAAAGAAATGTTCTGCATTTACAGAAAGCGACCTAAGAGGATTTTTTATTTCATCCAGATGACAGTTTCAAAAGTCATACTTGAAGTATCGTTACTTAGCAACTGTAAAGCACGTGTGTTTTTAAAGGCCCTTTTTCGCATGCATTTGAGTGTTTAAAACGGATATTGTGATTCAGGTATAATAAAAAAAAATAATTTAAATGTTTGTTTTGATCTAGGGCAAAACAACTGTAACTCCTCGGAATACAAAAAATCTGCATCTCATGCAGAATCACTAAATGAGACACAAACATCAAGTCCGCTTCCGCATGAAACAACGGAACAAGTTTTTGATATTCCAACATCTCCTGTTGACAATGGTGGTAAGTAAACGAAAGCTCTTATTTCCACTGCAAAATCAACAACTTTTTTCCAACAGCTAAGACAGGCACCTTTACAGCTTAGACTTTCACTTTCCGCTACTCACTAGTCACTGGCGACTTAATTTTTAGTAACTTGAAGCTTGAATTTCGACAAATGTGGGACATTTTACGCGACACTGGCTTTGCAGTATTGGGGCAAGTGCACAAATGGGGGAAGTGCAACTTTGAGGTTCTACAAAAACAGAAAAAGTGTCCCAAACTAGTTTTTTACATAGGAAAAGTTATAGAAATTGCAGAGGAAATCAGAGTAACATTTTTACGTAAAAGACGAACGTATTTTGTATTTCCACAAGTAGCTGATGAGGTGGCTGTAGTAGAAGATGCCATCCGCAAAAAATTACCAAATCCGGATGTTAGACGTGGTCTCCACAACTTTAGAATTAAATTCCCTGAAGACATAGATATTCAGTGAATATTCATTGTAACTTTAATGTTTTTGCATTGTGTGGTACATTTGCAACAGTGACAGTATAGTTGTTTATAGCTCTATACAATTTAATAAATGATACAGTTGTAGTGTTTCATTGAGAACATTTCTTAGTACTTCTATGCACTTGCCCCAATCTATATAATAAACAAGTACATGGAAAATAGGCCTGGGGTGTGCTCTTGCCCCGATGATATGGGGCAAGTGCACACCCAGCCCATTAAATAAAAAAAAAATTAATTGCTCTTGAAGTAAAAAACCTACACCTTGAACCAATTGCAAAAACGATCCTATACGTGTACTCATAATAACCACAAAGTTTGAAGACGGTGCATTGCATAACTCAGCCCTACAAGCATTGTGAACTTGAACTTGCCAAATGAGGGGGTGCACTTGCCCCAACTCACCTTATTGAAAATTTCAAAACGGGACAATCCCGCCTAATGTGGGACGAATTGTCTCTTTATAACTGGATCCCAACAAGCGTACATTATATGTGTGTTACCCTCCTTCCTTAGTTTTTTATTTCAATGGAATTGTAGCTCGAACTGTAGGTTAGGATTATTACAATGAAAACATGTTCCCATCGATAGATTTTATTCAACACTGACTTACAAACAAAAACTAACATACATGTGTTATGCTTTGATCGAGAGATGGCGACAACAACACTACCATCATTCTACGCTGTTTATGTTTTGAACTTATAATCTACAACACCCCCACTAAGTCGAAATATAAAATTAATATTAATATTAAACACAAAAACAATGACATGATTGCAAAGGGATATCTCCTAAAAGGTTCAAAAACTTATTATGCTTAGTAATACATAATCCTTTTGTGAAAATATCAGCTATCATACCTGCTGTTTGCAAATATTCAACAGAGATAACGTTATCAGCTATGGCATCTCTAATAAAATGATGCCTGGCATCTATGTGTTTAGAGCACTTATGAAATACAGGATTCAGACATTTTGAGTGCGCTTGGTTATCATTACATAACAGTACATTATTCAATCTGCCAGTTAAATTGTGCAATAAATTTCTCAATATATGAACGAAATCGTACTTGAACTGTTACCGAATTACCGAAAAATCGTATTCCAATCAAGTCAAAGTGGATTTTTAAGCTGAAATGTCATTCCGATGGAACTCTTAATCGTTATAAGGCTCGACTTGTTGCCAAAGGATATTCGCAAAAGGAGGGACTAGATTACACGGAAACATTTTCACCTGTTGTTCGTTATGAAACTTTACGCATTTTGTTAACCATAGCGACATAATGTTGGCGATTTCATATTGTTATCAAATTCTATAAAACTAATAGATTTGACTAAACAACAATTGATGCAAATGTTTGAAATGAAGTATCTTGGTAAAATGCAATATTGTTTAGGCATTGAAATTCAACGTGATAGAGATAAAGGGGATACATTGTTAAAACAAACTAATTCTGTTGAAACTATTTTAAGAAAATGTATCATGCATGATTGTAAACCTATTTGTATCCCTAATGATGTTAATAACAAAGTATGCAAAGTTTCAGAAAATAACAAGCGAAAAGCCGTAAAGCGTGTTATGAGGTATCTGCGTGGCACCACTGGAGCAACATTGAAGTATTCATCCTCTGAAAAACCCGCAAATTATTGAATACAATAATTTCTTGCTTCAATGAAGTTAACGCTAGCACGCATGGGCGTACGCAGAGGCAAAAAATAAAATTGGCGGAAAAAAATGTTTAATGAAACACATAATATACATTTTTATTTACAATAAAATAAGTTTCCTTGGGTCTTCTGCAAATTTATTGATAACAACATCGACGAATGAATCGTTTGCTGCAACAAGTTGCCGGTGTATACTAAGCATGCACAATCCTATTAAAAAAAGATTATGAGTAACAAGCAGTCATATTTTCAATAAATATACCATTCAAACGATCATCCGTCATAGTTGATCGAAGCCACGTTTTCACCCGCCTTGGTTTAATGTCATTCATTACTAAGTACTAACGCAAGTCATTAATTGTTTTCAGATAAAGGTATACTTGAATGGTAAATGTTCATGCCCAAGAGGACAAGTACTTTGTCATCATATGGCAGCATTATGTATTAATGCTCACCATAACGTAAGTATCACCGATAAGCCTTTCACATGGAATGTGCCCAGTACTTCCACCGAAAAAAAAGAAAAAATTCTTCAACTGAAGGACATTTACCCTGCAAAATACACACCATTAAAAAAACTGTATAGCACAAACGGATGTAAATAAATTTAAAAACAATCTATTACGCACACATGCTATTGGATGCAGCTGGTTACTGAAGACCCCTCCAAATGAAGAAGAATCTTTACTGCCCGACATAGAAACCATTTTGTTTTCTTCAGACTTTTTGGCAGCAGAAAATAAAACACAATTTCTTTTAGAGAAATTAATTCTCAGTAGAGAAGACATTTTAAAAATAGCCGAGAAGATTATTGGACAATATGCTAATGAGCAGTGGTTGGCTAGCACGAAAATTACGTCTCTCTGGCATCAAATTTGGCGTAATTTTAAAAGCGAGTAATCGAAATAAGTTTAGTAAATCCTTATTCACAAATGTATTGGAAGGGTATGACCTCTCTAAGAGCCGTTTTACACTTTGCTAAATTTAGTACTAAAACTTGTACTAAATTTAGGATGTAAATTTGGTATTAAATTTATGAAAGTGTCATACTTGAAAGTTATTAGGATGTAAAAATTGTACAAGATTTTTAGGACTTGCTCTATTTTTTTTTACGAATCTGCGCGTAAATGTGCGCAGTCAACAAGATTTCCGCGAATTTAAGTAGTTCCATGTGATTTTAAAGCAACATAACCTCTTTTACCTAACGTTTTTACGATTGTTCGACGTTCGTATTTTCGTGTTATATATTATTTACTTTATTCCTCTGAATATTAAAGAAATGTCTTGGACACATGAACAAGTGTTGATCCTAATCGAAGAATACGAAAAACATCCGTGTTTGTACAATGTGAAGTCGAAGGAGTACAGAAATCGACATTCAAGAAATGCTGCGTTAATGCATGTGGTGAACGCATTAAAGGCGTAAAAAAGGACATCACAATAGCAGACATCAAAATAAGTGGAACGGCATAAGAACAAAATTTTATGTCGGAGCATAAAAGGGTGTCAGCGTCAATGAAAAGTGGCTCTGGAGAAGAAGATGTAAGAACATTAATAATGTCGCTTTACTTTTATATTAAAATGTGTTACATTTTAGGTATATAAACCCATATTATGGTATTTCAAAAATATGCAGTTTATTTTAAATAATGGCCATGAACCACGATTTTCCATTGACAGTATGGATGGGACTGAATTTACTGATCAATATGAAGAAGCAGAATCGCAAGAGGTAAATATATTTCTGTATTAATTTCATTAACGACTAACGAGAACTCGTGTGTGTGACCAGGCACAATCAAAAAATATTATATTAGAGTATATTATTTATTTACAGACCGAGGAGACGTTTTTTGTAAAAGAAGCGGCAGATGGTTCCGTTTTAGTGGACGACACCGGCAATGAAATTTATGTAGACGTTCAATCTCCATCTACTAGCAGTGGCAGCAGAACAGACAGCACATTTTCAGCCAAGCCAGGCAAAAAACGAAAACGAGTTGCTGTAGACACTGAAGAACAGGAGAACAGATTATTAAAATCTGCAAGCACTGCAGTAGAAAATATTGCCAAATATCTGGAGCAGCCAATAAATAGTAACAAAGAAAATCGCAGAGGCGAGTGCGATATATTTGGTGAATTCGTGGGCCAAAAGCTTAAATCCATCGCTAATAAATATTTAAGGAGCGAAGCACAGTCCAAAATCATGCAATTACTGGATGAATGTGTACGGCAAGACGAGAATTAGTTATAACTATGCACAAGTTACTTTATTTTTTTCATGATTAGGTATTAATTATTATAAATACTTACTACCTACTACATTTAAGTGAAAAATTGCTTAATAATTAATAAGATTATTACATAGAAATTAAAGTTATATTGTGTAAAACAGTCATTTTAAACTTAGTTAAATATTATTATTTCTGATAACAGTTTCCTGCCACTCGACCATTCCTACAGGAGAATTAAAATATTCCTTGTATTCATTTCTGATCATTCTTACAGCATCTGCTGACCTGTTGCTGCTAGTAGATTGAATTCTTTGTAAATTGGTTAATGTTATAGGTGATTTGTCACTCCCATCGGTGTATATTCTGCCTTTAGATACGCAAAGAAAATTATGCAGGACTACACAAGCTAACGTTATTTTCTCCACTTTTTCTGCTGACAAATTAATGGGGTTTAACAATACCCTAAAGCGGTTTGCCAGAATACCGAAACTACTCTCTACTATTCTCCTAGCTCTGGATAGCCTATAATTGTATATTTTAGAATTATGATCTAAACCTCGCTGAGGATATGGCTTCATTAAATTAGGTGACAATGGAAATGCATCATCTGCAATAAATACAAAAGGAACTTTTTCTTTTCTACCTGGCAAATTATTTGGTTGGGGCAGATTCAAAGTATTATTTTTCAATGCATTAAACAGATTGCTTTGTTGAAATACGCCACCATCACTTATCCTTCCGTTTACGCCTACGTTAACATAGGTAAATTTATAAGTAGCATCAGCAACTGCCAACAGGACAATGCTATTTGTGCCTTTATAGTTAAAAAAATACGATCCATCTGAAATTGGTGCACGGAATGTTATGTGACGGCCATCGATAGCACCTAGGCATTGAGGGAATTGCCACAGCTCTTGAAAGTTATTTGCAATAGCTTCCCATTCAGAAACGGATGATGGTGGTAAAAGTTAATAATAACAGTATTTACTTGCTTCTGGAAGGAACTGCGTTTCTAAAGAAAGTATCTTCGGTTTTAATGTCGTCATTTATTAAGTGAAGTATATAATCGCATTGATCTTCACATAAGCGTAAAAAATTGTTGTAGGAATATGGATCTTCAGTTTTCAATTCCTTATTAAGCAGCGATAAAATACCTTTTCCTTCAGAACGCCTACTTAACCATTCTTTACACCATACACTACGCTTTCGCTTATCTTTATATTTTCTTCTTTGCAAACGACGTTTGATAATAATATTAATCAGCATTACATTTATAGCGGCACATACTACTAAAATTTGGGTTTTATTCGGCATTATAAATAAATAAACAACGGTTCTATCACATGTAAACAGAGCTCAGTGACACATTGACAGTTAGAAATAAAAAGTGTGGTTAAAAAATCCCACTTGTACGCAAGTTTAGGACATTAACATTTAGGATGAATGTAAAACAGGACTATACAAAATCTTTGTACATTTTTTACATCCCAATAATTTTCAAGTATGACACTTTCATAAATTTAGTACCAAATTTACATCCTAAATTTAGTACAAGTTTTAGTACTAAATTTAGCAAAGTGTAAAACGGCTCTAACAAACAAGCGGTCCAATGAGGTAAAGAAAACGAGCCAATACCCATCCAAATGCTTGAAGAGACCAACAATGTTATCGTTAACTCAACTGGATTATGGTTAGATCCTTGTGGGTTTATCGGTGCAAGTCCTGATGGATTAGTTGGCGACTTGGCAGTAGTGGAGGTGAAATGTCCTTTTAAACATAGGAATTCGTTCCTGAACGAGGCTTTAAAGAATGACAAAACATACATCATTTATATAGATAAGTATGATTATTATCATTAAATGCAAGGTGAAATGTTTGTAACACTTAGGAAACTTTGTCATTTAGTGGTGTGGACTCCAGCAGAATGCATCATTGTGGATGTTGAGAAAGATCAGGAGTTTCAAATGCGAATATCTCCGAAACGAATCAATAGAATTTAAAAAGCAAAGCAGATTAGTAATCACGATTAAATTGGATTTCAAATAATGTGCCATTTGCCACAGGATTCCATTTAAAAGTTTAGGGGTTAAGCTCCCTATATAGAGGGGTGAAGACTCGGGTTCGTGATTTGTATTCAAAAAGTTGTCCCCCTCGAATACAAAATTGACGTGTTCGAGGATTTTTCGAAATTTCTAAATTTAATACCCTAAAATCCCTCTGTATACTTCTCGTTGGGCCACTCTGTATAAGTACCTACATAACGTTTTCATTTTTATTTTTTTTCCTTCAAATTGAATAACAATGTTACATTACTATTAATAACCATCCTGTCCTTACAAGCATATTCCTATCAAACTACATTTAAACATGGTGTGTTAATTACTATCCTCACAATAATATTGTTCGACTTCTTTGATTAATGGACATTGAAAATTAGTCAAAGCTGCTACCACTTGAAATACAAAATTTGCATGGAGCAATAATGTTTGCGGTATAAGTGCTAAAATTTGGTATACTTTCATACGCCTGATTGCTCTTTCTACGTGAATTCGTGCACGAGCAATCGTCTCTGTCAACAAAACTTGCAGAGGTGTGAATTGGGAAGTAGTTAAAAATGGGGGGATGTTTATACTAACACCAGGGGGTAAACAGTCTTTAATTAAACATCTTTTATCAGCTAATACTAAGTCCCCTGCTGATTGCTCTAAAATTCCACAATGTTGAACAATTTTTTTATCGGATGTGGATCCAGGATACAAATTCGACACATACGTTATCACACCATTAGGTGCAACTCCAACAAGGCTCTCCAAGTATTTCTCTGTTTATACGAACTATATGTCAGGTTTTGTTTAGTGATACTACTTCTACAGGTTGTGGTATATACCTCTGTGCAATTTAAAATTACTCGACAATTCGTAAAGGTACTAAAACAATTTTAAAGGCACAGTTTGTTTAAACTCGCGGTGGTATAATAGCCATTAGCTTCATAAAAAGCACTTCATGTAAAACATGAACCCACGTTAAAACAACATTAGGTACGGTGCTCTAAGACCCATTGAATCTAAGTGCGAGATCGTCATGAGGAAAGTTTTGTCTCAGTTTCATTGGAGTCATAAGAATTTGATCCTCTCTATTCAATTGATTTACAGTCCACTTATAGTAATAATTAATGTCAATATTAATGCAGAGATCAAATAACTACCTACATATTTCCGCATTTGGAAGTCCAGTATATAGTAGCACCAACTTATCATTATTACAAATATGTTGAAATGAAAACTAAACGGATAGTTGTCTAATGTTACTTTTGGCTTCCTCTAACTCTTTCTTTAAAAAGTACCTAGTTCTCTGCATCAACTGAAGCTGTTGATATTACAGTAGTGCCAACCTACTTAATATAAACTCACTTACTACATATAGGTAGTCTTTTATTAAAAGTAAACATTACAAAAAAATTGATTTACCAGTAGTTGACACACATGTCAACAATAGATTCTTAATGTAAAAATCAGTCCTATTGTTGACACACCTACTAATCTAACCTGGTAAAATCATGCCTGTAAACCCTTCTAAAAATATTGTGAGTGACGAAGCATATGAAGGCGCTTCTTTCATCCCCTAAGGATCACTTGCTGATAAAGGTTAGTTTGTGTAAAACATTGCATGCTCATGCTTCCAAAGTTTGTGGTTGTATATGGTGACAATTATGGATATTGGAGGAAGTTGCAGCTTGCAGATTAGAGGAATTGTTAAAAATGAACGTAGACTACATAGAAGATGGAGAATCGATGCTGTTGTTAGTATTCCAAACACAAAAACTAAAAGTCAAGAGTTTTTACCATTGTTGAGGCGGAGAAGAATTCAGTTATTTGGCATTATATAGGAAGAGCTGGATGTACATAAAAGCCCCTTATAAATTATGCTTTTCATATTACCTGTTCTGAAAATAAAGAAAATGAATACTTTCTGAATGTTTTACAAGTAAACAAAAATGAGGGATTAAAGTTTTTTTAATCCCTAGGGATTAAAATTACCTATTAAAATGCACAAAAATTAGGGATTAAAGTCGATAAAAACGTTTCGGTATTGTCCTATCGTGTACGTATACGTACACTACTTACGTCCAAAGTATGTACCTATTGTACGTACGCAACCATTTCGTGATACTGGCTTCTATCTTTCAAGGTTGCAGAGGGGAATAACTGCATTGATGCTTCTGTAAATAAAAACAATAAACTATGGCTACACACACATAGAAAAACTTACGTATCAGAAGTTCATTCAACTTCAGTTTACTAAAGGATTCTTTTCTACGCCTGCCCAAAAAACTAAATGTGGTACCACAGAAATTATTGGTAATTAGCTTCTGTGTTGCTCGAAAAACAAACTCGTATATGTATCTTTTCCACCAATATGAGACACGTCTTTAGCCTAGCCAAAACACAGAGAAAAAGCAATATTAATTATTATGACAGAATTTTATTCAACATTGCATGTTGACGTTGTATCAGATACAAAAATACAAACTTTTTGGAAAATGACAAACTAAAATTAAATATTACACTTACGGTGCTCTCCATATGCTCTGGTGTAGGTACTTAAGTACGTTTCCAATTCAGTTAAATGTTCCAGCGAATTGATTGGTAGATTTGCCACAAGCACAAAAATGGATTCTGCATTATCAATGTTCTCTTCGCTTTCGGTATTGTTTAGGACCTGTAAAATCAGCATGTATGCGAACCCAAGGTCTGCTTGGCACTTCCCAATGGTGAGTTGGAACTTGTGTAGGATCTTTCTGGTTTTGTGCACACACTGGGCAGGATCGAGTTAAGGCTTCAATGTCTTTGTCTATATTTTTCCAGTAACAAGTGGACCTTTCAATGACTTTCATTTTCACTATACCAACGTGTGTCTCGTGGAGCTCTTCTAATATTAAATGTTGAAGCGAAGCTGGTATCACGACTCTTGATCCTCGAAGAATAATACCTTGATGAATTGAGTATTGCGATTGGTTGTATTCTGTTGATAATAATTCTTTCTTTAACGCCTGTAGTTCTAGATCTTTTTCGGTTTCGGTTCGAATTCGTTCTCTTGTAATTATTGAAGAAGTTATTTGATTTATTAATACTGATTGAATTACATCTGTGTCATCTACTTCGTTGGTATCTGATTGACTTAAATTCCTCGATAAATAATCAACGTTCTGATGTTTTCCCGCTCTGTATTGAATTTTATATTGAAACTGACGTAGAAATAATGCATATCTTGTCAATCGTAATGCACTAATTAATAGTAATTGCTTGTCTGGATTAAAAATGGATTGTATCGTTTGTTATCTGTGATTAAGGTGAATTCTCTTCCGTAAAGGTATTGAAAGAATTTCTTTACAGACCAATAAATCGCCGTGGCTTCCTTGTCAAGATGACTGTAGTTTTTCTCCGCTGCGGTGAGTGTTCTGGAAATATATGCGACAGGTTTATTCTGGCCATTAAGAGGGATCCAACGCGATTGAATTTTAACCGTGTGTAAGGGTTTCGTGCACGAATTCTGGAGCCGGCATTTTTAGGAATTTCGTCCTCAATTTTTTTTTATTGTGCAGACAAGGGATGAAACTACGTACGTATAGAAGCACTTTCTAAATAATTGTTATAGAACGTTTTGTTTCTTTAATTTTTCAAATAAGCGTCCTTTGTAGAATTATATTCTTCACGGTTCATATCTGGTTTTTCACAGTTGTCTCCATAGTGTTTATTGAGATGACCCTCAGTTCGATTTTCTTTTTGCTTTTTTTCTTCTGTTTTTGTCATCTACGAACGTTTCGCCTAATTTTGATCAATTCAGACCGTATTGCATATTTTCCGGGCTGCCTCCCACCCACCATCCAAATATTATAAATATTTTGAACATTTCATGTGCAACAATGAAGCTAAGCCGTGCAGTTCCTCTTTTACAAATAATATGTTTTTTAAAGAGCAGCGAAACCGTTTTCCATGTGCTCCAAGTTTCATGATTGATGTTAGGAAAGACTTTATATCAACAATGCGCCGTCCCTCAAAAATTTCTATATTTTGGGAAGTTACAGATGTATTTCCCAAATTATCAACCTGAAAGTTAAAAAAACTCAAAAAATCCTTGGTTCCCATGGTGTTAATTTATTGCCAATAATTAACGTTATGGGAACATAAAGCTTCGATTTTAGGTAATTTGAAATTTTGTAGTTTAATGAAACTTACTAGATCGTTTTTCAAACAAGCTTGACTACTTACTAATTTGTTGTTCACAATTATGTGGGGACCGAAGTGGGAACATGACGGATCATCAGAAGAAATAGGGTCGCCATTCTAAATCAAAATATAAATTATACTAGTGTTACAATGGTCATTGAATACAACTATTGTGTTTAATGTCTTTAAGAAGGTACTTGCCATCTTTTTCAAGGGGAACGTTTTCTTCTTGTTTCTGTAAGCGGATAATCGTAAATGACTTTTATTCCCTCGTCTATAATGTTTATCGTCACTCATTGTGGTCGATAGGTACTAAAGCACTCACAAACACTTTAAAATCCGAAATACAAATGAAAACGCTGTCTAAAGACGCTAAACGCTAAAACAATACTTTCAGACGTATACCTATTATAGACTAAAATGTGCAATAAGGTAATATTCAGCTGGAAAGTATATCATATCCTATTTCACCGCTATTATTCCTTTACAGTTGCCGGCCCGTACCTATTAATGTGGGTATAATTAGTGATAATAATTATAGATTACTTATACCGTTCATAGGCAAAAAAGACCTGTTGTGCTTTACTTGGAAGGAAAGTTGTGTTTGCCACATATGAAGATAAGTGTTATAACTTTGTGACAAGGGAAGATGATGTGGCAAAAACTGAATTGTGCTGCAGCCACTAAGAGGCAGATTCTCGAATAATTTACCATCTTGGTAAACTACCAACAAGTAGCAAAGTCATTATTAGCGCTTCCGATATGGATATTGCTGTTATTGCTTTGGGAAATGTAAAATTGACGCTACCATCAAGGTGTAGATGGAAATAGGTCTCTTTTCCAATAACACACAGAAATTCATAAATCTTCGAGAGATGTTCGTGAATTTGGGTGTTGATGTGTGTAACGCGCAGGGTAACGCGTTACCGGGTTCCCACGCATTTACCAGATGTATGACTTGTGTATGGTCCTCATGGTTTAGTTCATCGCAATTTGGGCGAATGCCATCGAAAAATGTCTGAGTTTCTACAATCCGTTTGATTGACGTGGATGGAACTATGTGAATCAGAAGTTTAGAATCAAATGGTTTGAAAGATCTCAGTAGTCAGTATCCTATCGCTATCTCTGTTGGTTAGGCTCTCGCACGCTTATCTCTCACACGCTCGCACTCGCTGGGAGTTACTATACCTACATTTTTTAACTTCTAAGACGTCTACCACTATTAAAGCTACACTTAATATCGTCTCCCAGGATATATTTTAAAGTAGTGACAAAAAGAGGAATTTTTTATGTATAATTTTTATACGGTCCTCATGGTTTAGTTCAGGGGTGTTTTTCCCTACATTGGAGGGTGTCTTTTGCTACCAACGCTGCACTTGAAATCGTCTGCCATAGCATATTTGAAAACTATGGAAAAAATGGGATTTCATGATACAAATCTTTTCCGTGACTCTTATAGTTTGGTAATTTAGTTGATCACCTAAAGAAGTCACCTATTCAGCGCCGCCCCAAGTTAATGCTGCCACTTACGACTGGCAGACGAGTGATTTTATTATTAGTTTTCAACTTACTTTCAGCCTGTATTGTCGAATTTTTTGTCGCTTATGGTTTAGTTACTATATACGCTGCCTCCCGGTCTATTATATGGACAAACTAAAACTAATTAGGTTCTATAGCCGTACGGCAAAGTAGCGTAGTCTATATCTAAACGGCGTCGTTTCGTGTACTGGACACGGTACCTTTTCTTCTCCGGTTTGGAGATTACATCATAGGTACACGTGCGAGCAATTCGGCGATCGGTCTCTACGTAAGTCTCTGGGGCATTATTTAGCACTGCGTCTTTAATAGTGTCAAAGTTCACTACGCGGCTGTTCTTATAGTTCAGGGAAATACCTTTCACTTTGCACACGACACTATACTTGTTCGCAATAGGGGAAAACACTTTATAGGCATAGTTTTTGGGGTCACCACTCACAAACTCCACTATTCTGCTCCCTGGTCCATAGCACTCGATTTCATCGGTCATGTCTCCGAGAAAACTGCCGATTGGAGGTCCCCATTCTTCGAACTTCTGCGTAAAGATCACGGAATCCGTCTCGAAATACAGCACCCTTTCGCCAACCTTCTCCAGGTACTCGTATAGTACAAGGCGAGCGTTGGCTGTGGTGTAGGCGGCCAGAACCACGTTCGTGGTTTTCAGGGACTCGACCGCATCCTCCGGGAGGGTCCATTGGACGATAAGAGTTTCGTCATTGACGGGGATGATAGAGTTCACTTCCACCGAGGGATCCGTCAGCATTTGGAAGAATTCTCCTGCCTCCGAAACGATACGCGTCTTCGAGAGATTGTCGCGTTGGCCAAACTTGCCCCAAAAAGAATTGAGAAACAGTTTGGCGATATAGCGGAGACCCGCGTTCACTTCAATCTTGCTCCGATAAAGTTGAACCCCCTCATGCTCCATGTAGTCGACTAGATACTGCATACATGTCTCTTCGGAAAGACACCAGGACGGTCATCCGCTGCACTCCTGTTTGGTCTTCAAGAAGTTGTCCACATAACCGGAGAATAAACCGCCGCTTTTGGTTGTACGGTCGTATTGCGTGGTCTTATACTCCCACACTTCTTGAAGATCTATCACAACGTAGCCCGATGAGATCGCTTTTCGTAGTTCGTCCGCTACGTAAGTGCCTGTGAAACGGCGATCCTCATCGCTGTGGTCACACTCGCCTTGCTGCATTGTTTCGCAGCATGACCGACACAGGGGAAACATAAGTTTACCATGGCATCTGTACGGAAGTACGGGATGGTATAAGTTTTGTGGAGGTAACACTGTACACTTGACCATGCCCTCTATGGTGTCTATGTTGACGGAACGAAGTTCTTCGGGCGTGACAAGTACTCTAGGATGGCCCAGAGGATACTTCCCATACTTGTTAACGTAGGGGTAGAGGGAACACACGTCCAAGTATCTTATTTCTTCCCCTTCTTCGGCCTTGTGGTATAGTTTGATGGCATTTGTCCGACCTCCAAAGAAGCCGTCGCGAGGATTTAGAGGTTCGTGTCTCAATATATTATTACCATTCAGCAAAGCAGGGGTTTCGGGATTATTGGTTAAATATGTGCGGAATTCACACTCCCACATTTCAATTAAATGGTAGCCTGCAGTACGAATGCGTGATGAAGTGGCTTCGGTTTTTTCACGCCGCGTACCCATTTTATCGGCTCTATTTCCTTTTAGGGGCGTCGTTTGATCGGGGAAACATCTCTCACAACCGTGGTAGTAACATCCGTGGAACTGGTACACGGTGGTCGTGGACGGTGAGTACCCATCGACAAGGATTCCTTCCTTTATGCTGACTTCTCGAGTGTTACCAGCATGCTGAAGATCGGGAACATCAGTGGTTTGTCGATGAACAAGCCATTTGATGGCTGTCCGACTCTGATTATCGGCTATCCTGTACCCTCCATGTGGAATGAGGCCGATCATCTCTTGAAGGAGATGTTTCTCCGGAACACCAGACTGCATGCAGAGGCGATCGTGCAGCACTCACGGAATGGATCCACCTTGTTCTCTTCGGTAAATTTCCGCCAGAACTAAATGCATGCCTGCCGTAAGATATTGACCTCTTGGACACAATATTTCACAATCTCCTCCTTAAAATTGAATACAAGGTTACGGCTAACTTCTGCGTTGTACCATTTGAAAAAATCAGCGCGAGTTTTTTCAGACATTTCGTCGGCTCCATAGAAATGCGGTGCAGGCAGTGGTCCAATGTAATTCGCATTTTCCAGAGTATTGAAGAAGTGTGGGAAGTGTCCTTTACACCCAAGAAAACCGAACGTTTTCGGAAGAGCACTTAAAGGGACGGGCATAAAGTTCAAACTGTCAATGAACCTAATGTTGTTATTACATGACAGCGACGTAATTTTTGTGCCCGTGGCGATGATGTCGGGATTCCATGCCGATGGAGTGTTCATCATTTCCTTCAAGATGAAGATACTATCGTACCCCTTACTGTTGTGAGCGATAGCCACGACGTCACGATTCTTACGAGCCAGAGAGGACATGAGTTTTAAAAGTTCATTCACGGGGTCTTCTTTGAATATATGTTCACGTGGGCCACAGTTATCACACGGGGTGGTAATGTTTGTATTTTTTGTGATGCACGATTTGCACAGTTGCTGAGCTGAGCTGAGCTACACACAAGAACGTGAACGTAAGTGTTACCGCGATTTTCAAATTGATCTTCTTGACGGCATTCGAAGTCGTAAAACACGAACACATAGTCTTTATCTAGCTTCTTTTTATCGGGGGTATTCTTCGCCATGTAGCACAAATGGCGTATTGGTCGGTCAGCTTGGCATGTAACGCATTTCTTGAAACCACATTTGTGTGGCTTTTTCTCCTTCCACACCGTAGCCAAACACGTACGACATCGACGCACTTTCGCGCACAATTCCTGGTCTTTATGATGACGAAAGCACTCCGGGCCGCGGAAATCACGGTTACACTCCGCGCACTTAATGTTCGGAGCATCCTTGTTGCACGGAGGACTAGTGTGACAGCAGGGGCAAATGTACTTGCAGTTTTTATGGCGATTGCGATCACTCATACGGACACGACACAGCTCACAAAAGTACTCGCACGTGAACGCTGACGTTAAGCTGGTGATTACGTTGTAGTGCTCGTTTTCCATTATCAGGTTCAGTACTTGACATTGTGGAGATCGTGGACCCTCAAAGTACACTGTTTTTCCCATACGGTGATTGTATACTACGATGGTGTAATCCGTGAGGTGAGCTTGGAACTGTCGTATGTGGTCGAGCGTTCCCCCTTGCTTAAATCAACGCCCCCAGTTATACATAATGCCTCCGCTCTTTGCCTTTGTATAGGCAATCCCGCTCTCAGCAATTCTAACTCGGGTTCGTTGTTCCGGAAAGATATGGCGGTCACGAGCGCCCGTGCCAGACATAGCGTGTCATCATTATTAATAATAATGACCCCGCGTTTTTTCCGTGAGAACTCCGCGAAGCTGACCCCGGTCATTCTTTGACGTCCTTTTCCACTGGGTAGGGTAATCAGACTCACATCAACCCGTAGTGCATCGCTGGAGAAGAACGCTTTGTTATCTGCATCACTTTTTCCATGGTCTTCAGCATGACGTTGGCATTCAGCTGATCCACACGCCTGAACGAGAAACCCAGCGGATTGTCGGGAAACTCACTATTGGTCAGCATTAACCCAATGCGATCACTCACACTACGCCTCTTAGTCACGTAATTAATAAGAGCAGTCAGTGATTTCTGTATCAGAAAAACTCCAATTAAGTTTAGTTTAATAAAATACCTTTGTATGCATACCTTAAGCCATTCTAGAGGTGCTTCATGGGGTTCTGCGTTATTAAACTTGATCACCAGTTGCTGGGCTGTCAAGTTGAATTTCTTTATGTCCCGCTCCCCCTCGGACAACACAGAGAAGCGTTGAGGTACTCCACGGCCAACTTGGTCCGATAATGGCTGCAGAGCAGAGGTCGATGGTTCAGAGTTCAGCTGCAAAGAAGTTAATTAAATTCCTTGTTTAGAATAATTAAAGCAAAACTTACATTATTTACACAGGGCACTATAGGTGTGGTTGGTTGTAGTCCCGATGTTGATGGTTGATGGTTAAGAATCTGTAAAGGCGTTATCATTTAGAACTTGCGCACTCGAAAATTATTATTCAACTTACATTATTTACACACGGAGCAGCACGCTTTCGCTTAGGCTTTGCATGGGAAGACGAAACGGAAGGTTGCGGTGGATGCTGTAAGGAAATGTACAATTAAAATATGAAACAACTTTTAAATTTAAAGTAAACTTACTTTCACACAGAGGTCGAGGGGCTGCGATTGGGGTTTGTAGTCGCCAGGGGCAGACGGCAGCGGTGGATGCTGTAATGAAATTTACAATTAAAGTATCAACAAGTTTCCAAAAAATAAAATGAACTTACTTTTACAGTGAGATCAAGGGGCTGAGATTGCTCTCCTTGAAGCTGACGGCTAGTGGACGGCGGAACTTCATTATGTACAAATAAACAACATTTAGAAAAACGAAACTTTAAAAATTAAAATAAACTTACAGTGACAGTAAGATCCATTGCCTGCGACTGTATAGCTATAGCAGCAACGTGATGGGAATTCTACAAAGAAATTTATATTTAGAAATTTATAAGTGTACAAATATTAAAAACTTACCACATTTTGTTGAAGCAGGCGCGTTTGAATGGTACCCACTACATCACGAAGACGCCTGAAGTGCACAATGTCTTCTTCTTCAGGAATCACTTAACCGGAAGTTATCATATTGTGTAGCTGCTCACACACCTTAACCATGGCATCCTCGGAAAGGCCATTGCACAAGTTTAAATACACACACAAAGCACAAACACAAAGATCACGTAAAACTCGAGAAAATACGCACGTACAAATGTAAGAACGCAAGTAATTCCGAGTCCCCGAAAATAAGATCTTTATATCAGAGCAGGTAAAATAGAATCCGATCCCTTCCGAACATTACCGAACGCTCTATTGTTCTCCTAAAACCGGTTTTCCGCTTGATTAAACACGATCTATTGTTTAAAATGCATGACTCATAACTCGCTAAACCTGTTTTCCGCGTGAATAGCCACATCTTTTGTGCTTGTGGCCGTCTTTATGGCGCCACGTCAATAATTTCTTTTGTTTCTACTTCCGGTTACATGGAAAGGCACTTAGTTCACGCTGGGCGGATAAGTGCTTTCTTTTTGTTCAGGACACCTGCACAAGTATGACTCATAACTCGCTAAACCTGTTTGCCGCATGAATAACCACATCTTTTGTATTTGTGGTCGTCTTGATGGCACCACGTCAATCATTTTCTTTTATTCTCGTTATGACTCATCGTCACCTGCACAACTATGACTCAGTTTTTTAATTTAATTCGCGATTATAGTGACGTATTAGATTTACAGTTACGCGGTGTTTATAAAGCTGATGAGGGTTGCAACTCGTTCTCATTTGTGTTCAGTTCAGTGTTCAACGTGATATTGTGTCAGTGTACTAGTTCAAAGTTACAAGTAAGTTCAATCGCCTCTGTTTTTTTATATAATTGATTATTAAATAGTCGCAATTGTTTTCTAATTGGTAATTAAATTGTTGCAATTGTTTTCTAATTTTACATTTCGTTAGAGATTATGTTTTCGTACAGCAAACCTTATTCTCGTCCATCAACAAACCCCAGAGATCCTCGTACTGCTGAAAAGTTGTCGACGACACTCAATTACTACAAGCCTATTGCATCATCGCCAGAATTCTGCTACACAGAGGATGATCACCGAGCATTCGACAGGGAAGTTATGAAGGAATACAACATCTCATCTTACAATAATCCAGTGCCCAGACACGAAGATTTTTGTTTATCAACACAAGACCGTAAGCGCATACATAACAAGTTTATGGATAAAGAACGACAGCAATTACTCAGTGAGTCGACATTAAATCTAAATAATAGTGGATCCAAAATCCTGAAAGTGGGTCTAGACGTATTTGAAGATTGCCCCTGTGTCAAGATACAAGGCAAGGATCGGAGCATATATTTTTCAAAGAGTGCCTTCGAGAGTTTTTTAAGCGAATTAGAAGACATCGTCGGAGCAGTAAAGCGCGAGGAAGAAGATGAAACTTTCGAACTAGAAGATTTCCATGTACCGTGCTGCAGAAAATATAAAGCTGCGCGTATCATTTCGAAGAAAGAAATCCACTGTGAACTGTACTTGGGACTCGTCACCCTGGAAAAAGTGGTCGCTATGGCAGACTACTTACGTCAGAAGCTTAATTATTTGGGTAATTATTTGGAAGGTAATGATTGTCCTTTCAAAAACTTTGTAGAAAAAGTTGTGGACATTCTGGATAGACGTCAGCAAAAAGATGTGAGTTATAACGATTTGCTAACAAATTTAACTGCTGAACCTTTAGTTATACATGAGTTAGTCCATAAGTATCCGTATTTTGTTATTGATAAGATAGAGGATTATCTGCAAACTTATGATGATAGGTTCTTGTACAAATAAATGTAAATAAATATAAATGTAAGTTCTACATTCTTTTAATCAGTTTGGTGTTATACTTCGAGGTATTAAAATGGAAAATAAATTTCTTCATCCATTTTCCGCTCTTGTAAGTGGCCCCAGTGGATCGGGAAAGAGTTATTTTATTGTAAACTTTCTAAAAAATATAACAAACATCTGCTCTGTAGTGTTTGAAAAAATAGTCTGGCATTAAGGGGAATGGCAGTCATTGTACAAAGATCTAAAAGGTGTTGAATTCCATCAAGGCCTGCCCGATATGTCCAGTTTCGACGGCTTAAAACCTGTGCTGATAATTATTGATGATTTAATGCGAGAATCAAATGGTGGTATTGTTGACATTTTTACAAAAGGATGTCAAGTGTTTTCTTTCTAACCCAAAACATATTTCATCAAGGAAAAGGACAGAGATCTTTAAATGCACACTACATTATTTTATTCAAAAATCCCCGAGATCGGGCACAAATAAAGCATTTAACGCGGCAAATTTGCCCTGAAAACTCCAAATTTTTAGAAGAAGCATATAATGATGCAACGTCTAAACCCCACGGATACCTGTTATTCGATTTAAAACAAAGTACACCGGATGTTTTCCGCTATAGAACATCAATATTTGAAGAAGATGGCGCCTGTGTGGTATACGAGGGTGGGATGATTATTAGTCAGCCGCCTTCAAAGAGAGGGCGGTAATATATTAACCATTAGTTTAAAATTTTAAAGTTACATGTTTAGGTTGGTCACACTGAATATTTGACTTCAATGTGTCAAGTAGTTTGCTGTTGGCATTCTCAAGTTTTACAGAAATATTTACATTTTTCGGAACAAATGCGAAAACCTGTAAGTATAGCGATTGAATCGAAGCCTACAGGAATATCAGAAGATGAAATAATAGCCTCAATTCCACAAATTTTTAAGAAAAAAGCCGAAAGTTTTCTACGAATACTCAACGCTTCGGGTGATATCTTATGGGACAATAGAGGAATTGTCACAATAAAAGGCGAAGTAATCCCGTCATCGAATATTATTGACTTAATACACGACACAGTAAGACCGCGTCAATCAACAAATCCAGAAGGTGGCCGAGAGTTTGCAGATTTCGTAAAAGAAATTAATGTTCCTCAAGAATTTATTGGCAAAAAACAAAGTTTTGTAAAAACCGAAGACATTATTTCTAAACGTCCAAAAATTACTGTGAACCCTGTTCAAGACGTTACCGCAAAACGGACGAGAAGTGCACTTAAGCAGCCGGATACGAGAAAACGTTCCAAAAGTTCTGGGGGGCTACAGCGAGGTGGATGGAATACTTCTGAACGATTGCATATTCCCGGATGGAAAACCTTTAAACTTTAAGTACCTAGATGGAAAGCATATATTATGATCCTTCACATCCTGCCGGATTCGGTGGAGTTTCCTCCTTGTCTTCAGCGTTAAAAAATAGATATTCAACTGAGGATGTAAAAGCATGGTTACAAAAACAAGAAGCATACACTGCGCACAAGCCCGTTAAAAGAAAATTTCAACGCAACAAATACATAGTTAACAACATGTTTGAATTATGGCAAGCCGATCTTTGTGATATGAGAAGCCTAGCGAAAAACAACAGAGGCTGTAATTACATATTAACGGTCATTGACGTATTCAGTAAGAAAGCATGGGCAAGACCTCTCAAACAAGAAACCGCAAATTCTATAATTGAGGCGTTTTCGTCCATTTTTGAAGAATGTGATAATACACCTGAAAATATACAAACTGATAAAGGAAAAGAATTTGTGGCAGCAAGCGTACAACAATTTTTAAAAAATACAATATAAATTATTATGTAACTCATAATCCCGACGTAAAAGCTTGCATAATCGAACGGCTGAATCGCACATTAAAGACGAAAATGCACCGATACTTTACATATAAGAACACATTCAAATACGTGGACGTTCTACAAGATTTGGTGTCTGTATATAACAAATCCTATCATTCTTCGATCAAGATGGCGCCTGATAATGAAAACGAAGAAAACATTTTGAAAGTTTGGCAGAATCTCTACGCTAAGGGTTTTGGTAAATAAACTCGACCTATATATAAAGTGGGACAACACGTGAGAATCACCAGAACCAAATATCATTTTGAAAAGGGATATGAGAGTAACTTTAGTCAAGAGGTGTTTAAAATTATTAAAGTTATAAAGAGACGTCCGCCTGTGTACAGAATAGTGGATTTAAGCGATGAAGATATAGAAGGGACTTTTTATGAAGAAGAACTGCAGGCTGTTACGATAGACGAAGATACAGTATTTAAAATTGACGAGATTTTGGAAGAAAAAGGAAGAGGAAAAAACAAAAAATATTTAGTGAAGTGGCGAGGTTATAGTGACAAATTCAATTCTTGGATTTCTGCCGCAGAACTCAAAAACATATAAAAATGGAAGAAGAATTCTACATTACCCTGTTAAGCAACAGTTCGCTTGATTATTTTCCTAACAATACAACTGCTCACTTTGTTACACAGTTGCCAAAGCGTATAAGATTAAGTGGTAAATGGGCTGTAGGTATAGTCGAAATACAGTATCCTTGTGTGTTTGCGTCCATCAGTGAAACCGATAATTTAATTTACTACAGAGACGCCCCAATAAAAGATTTGCCATTAAACAAAGTTTTAGAAAGTGCATCGGCATTTTTCCGTAATAATCTTGGAGTCTCTATGTATAAAAACAGCGGTTGGTACGTGATCAGACTTGATGCTGGTAATTACGAAAATATTGAAGATATTCTTAAAGAAATAAACAATCACGATAATTTAAGGAAGTTAATCACGATGAAATATTACAAGATCACTAAACGTGTGGCGATTGCATTTCGGACGCCTCTCTCAGTACCTACTGGGTTTTTCCGAAAGATTAGTTTTACAACTTGGGTATCGTCCCGAACAAAATATTGTACGTGAGCCCATACCGCCACATCCTGCAAGT